GAAGGAATGTTTCCAAGGCGCGCGTTTGCGCCACTATTACATGCTCTGCGGGGCTCTCTTGCGCGTCTGGACCAAAATCGCTAGCATCATGGCTAATATCACCAATACCAGCTATCTGCAGATTGTCCGCCTCAAGACCAAAGAGAAGAAGAAGCAAGTTGGTGAGTGGCCAACTCAAAACAGCTCTCCTTGGGGGCAAAGGGTGGAATCTCCTCACTCCCAGATCCTGACGATCAATTGCCGGATTTGAAAGTGGCCCCTAAGGCCATGGGAACCTGGTTGAGAGAGACAGCAGGGAATGCAGAGTAAGGGATAGAAAAGAGAGCAGTCAATTAATAGCAAAAGAAAAAAAAGTGTGAACTCAGCTCATAGCCGGACACTCAGCTTGGTCAGAATGTTTCAAGGTATTCAAGGAATCTTTACCTTAGCAACATAAATGTACTGTCAGGGCTCCAACAAATCCACCCCCATTCAAATCATAAGTCTCTAGCCACATCTCTCAGAGAAAAAAAAGCGATTTATTAGAAGTGGCCGTGTTGGCGTTAGCTGGGTGCAGCCGACACTAAAATACACCATTCATTTCCCCCTTGACCCTGGTCTTCCCCCCAGCCTCTGGATGTATATTCTCCAATGGGACACATCCATAGCCAAGAGTCATCAATCCTGCTCTCCAGTAATAATCTTATGTGCCAGAAGCTTCGGCTGCCTAGCAATTATCTGAAGCATTTAAGGAATGCACTGCTTTCCCCGACTCCCTTTCTGCTGACAACTAAAGACCGAAGGAATATTATTATTTTTTAGTTGACATGTGGCTTTTTTTTGGAGTAGGAGATATACTTTTTATTAAGGGTTTTGATTATAATGCAGGTGCTCCTCGACTTACCAACAGTTCATTTAGTGACCGTTGGAAGTTACAAGGGCACTGAAACAAGTGGCTTGTGACCGTTTTTCACACCTAAGACCGTTTCAGCATCCCCATAGTCCCGTGCTCAAAATTCAGACACTTGGCAACCGGCTCATATTTATGACAGCTGCAATGTCCCAGGACCACCTTTTATGCCCTTCTGACCAGCAAAGTCAATGGGGAAACCAGATTCACTTAACAACCTGTGAGACTAACTCAGCTGCCCTAATTCAGTTAACAACTGTGGCAGGAAAGGTTGTAAAATGGAGCAAAACTCACTTAACAAAGGTCTCACTGAGCATCAGCTTAGCATCAACGAAAATGGCACACAGCTCTCCCGGACACGGTTGTAAGTCGAGGACCAGCTGCTTTTCCAGGTTTCTCCCCTCATTCCTCACTGACTGACTTCACCTTCCCTTCCTTTCTCTGTAACTCGGATCCTGGGAGCCTCAGCCTCCGATCGAGGTCACGAGAATCTAAGCCACAGTTACATCCTCTAGTTCAGTGATCACCAACTGGTGGTCCGTGAGAAAATTCTGCTGGTCCGCAGAAAAATTATTTGCATTTTTTTTATATTGCACTAAATCAGGGGTCCTCAAAGGACGGCCCCTGGGCCAGATACGCGCAATGAACGTGTGTGTTGCTGCATACATTTTCCCCCTTCAGGGTCTATTTGTGTGGGTCGGAGGGGGGCAGTAATTCCCACTTCAGCCTCCCGGTGTGGGGCTTTGGGCGAAGGCTGGAGGGAAGTGCGGCTGGTGCCAAAGAGCTGGAGGGCCTCGTCCCAGTGGGACCGCATCATGGCCTGGAACCGGCTGACCATCTCAACCCACTGAGCCTCCAGGCACCGCCGGGACCTGGCCTTGAACTCCCGCAGGTCTCCCCTCTGCTTGGAAAGCCTTTGCTCGTAGTCCTCAGTGAGGAGCTTTTGCTAAGCGTCCTTCTCAGCCAGATCCAGTTTGAACGGAGCCAGCTGTTTTGCCAACTCTTTCTCCTGGTGGCTGCTTAGCGCCCACCACTGCTTCCTGTTGGGGCCCCAAGGAGCCCAGGCAGGCAGGCGAGGAGTGGCTGGGAGGGGAGGGGCGAGTAGAGGCCATCAAGGTGCCCCTCGACGTGAGTGGCATTGAGTTGGCCACATCCACCCAGTCACATGACCACCTAGCCATGCCAGTCATTTGGCAGATCATATTAGTGATCCACGGGATTTAAAATTACGAATTTAGTGGTCCCGGAGGTCCGAAAAGTTGGGGACCCCCTGCTCTAGTTGGGGTCCTGCAGAGAAGGGCGAGTGGAGTTTGAGTGTCTTGCGTCCTGCCGAAAGTTGACTCAGTACGTTTTATCCAGAGGTGGTATTCAGCCGGTTCGAACTGGTTCTGGTGTCCCGGTAGTGGAAATTCGGACTAGTTTGGAGAACTGGCAAATACCACCTCTGACTGGCCCCGCTGTTAGCTCTCCTATATTCCCTTGGTTTTTAGCTCAGCTGATTCGTGTGGCAGAGCGGATTGCCGCGCTTCAGCTGAGCTAAAAAAAAACCCGCCGCTCAGCTCACTCGCCAGCGTTCAGATAGAGGACGGTGTTTGAGTCCTGCACTCTCGCACAAAGTGCACGCACGCATCGAACCACTCATCGAACCGGTATTTATTTAATTACATTTTAATTTCGTCGCACGAGGTGCAGTGACCATAAAGTAAACTAAACTGGGGGAAAAATGTGGACACCCACCCACTGGTTTTATCCCTTCTGCAGGAATCAAGATACCGGAGAATTGTGTCCATCAGGTGCTGAAGGAGTTGAAGCAGATGGACGAGAACGTCAAACAGAAGCAGAAACAGACCCCAGCCCTGTTGGCTCCCGTGAGGCCCAGCCAGCCCTTCCCGCCGCTCGTCCCTCCGCTGGACCTCAGCCAGCCTGCGGGGTTTCTCTCCGCCCAGCACTCTTCCTTGCCGCAGAACGAGGTCTGGGATCTGACCAACAGCCCACCCGGGGAAGGCCTTTCCAACTTCTGGACGCACCCATCTCCTCCTCCTCCTCCTCTTCCTCCTCCTCCTCCTCCTTCGCTGCACCCCCATCTCCCCCCTGCCCCCTCCCAGTTCAACTTCCACGCTCCCTACGACAGCGCGGGGCTGGTGGGCAGCCTGGCGCTCAGCGGCTCCCCTTCCCAGCACCACGAACCCTTGGCCCCGACGCCGGCCCTCCCGCTTCCCCTGGCGGACAGTTTCTCCCCGGCCAGCCTGAACTTCCGAGAACTCTTGGAGGAGATGATGCTGAATCCCCAGGGTTTGGGGGGCGAGAGCAGTGAGCAGGAGCGCCAGAGCGTCATCCAGTTCAGCGGACCCCTCTCTAACCTCTATGATGCCAGCTGAGGTGGCGGGGGGGGAGGAGAGGGGGGGGGACTTCTTTACACCGGGCATGTGTGTGTGTGGGGGGGTGTTTTTAATCCTGGGTTGGAATGGACCACTTTGCGAAAATAGGGGGGAGGGGCGGGCAGAGAGAACTCTAGTTAACAGAAGCAAAAGTTTATTTATATATATATATATATATAATATACAGTCAAGCCTGTACTAATTTTTTTTTTATATCTGTATGTACAGAGAGAGATGTACAAAGTGGGGTTGTGGGAGAGGATAAATGGAAGAGGGAGGGCAATAATGCTGAAAAAACCGGGGGAATTGGGCACTTTAGAAAAACGGCTGCTCTGCCAAGCTTCCTTATCCGCCTGTTGCTTCTCAGCACCAAACTTGTCTTTCTAGGCCAGAAGTCTCCAACCATGGCCACTTGAAGACTTGTGGACTTCAACTCCCAGAAATGTTTGCCCTAGATATCTGATTGGCTCTTGCGCTGAGAGGGAGGGGCCAGCTCAAAAGTCAGCCAATGAGTTTGAGGGGGGCCCCACGGATCTGGACCTTTCCTCTCCTTCCTCGCTCTATTGGCTAAGTGGGAGGGACTGGCCCAAAATCAGCCAATGAGCTTCTGGAGCTGAGGAGGGATTAGACTCTGGATCCTCCCACTCTTAACCCATCTTTTCATTATTTATTTTATTAACCCCTGGTTTAAGCTGGCTGGGGAATTCTGGGAGTTGAAGTCCACAAATCTTAAAGTTGCCACGGTTAGAGACCCCTGTTTGTAGGCTACCCAACAACAAAAAAAACGACTGACTTTGGAAAGTGAGAATCATAGAATGAATGAAATATATAAATATATATTTTCAGACACAGATGCCCACATGTATACAGGTAGTCCTTGATTTATAACTGTTCGTTTAGTGAGCGTTCCAAGTTGCGGGGAAAATGACTTAGGACCATTTTTCACACTTAGGACCGTTGCAGCATTCCCCAGGGTCATGTGATCAAAATTCAGACCCTTGGCAACTGACTCATATTTATGACGGGGTCACGTGATCCCCTTTTACGACCTCTTGACCAGCAAAGTCAGTGGGGACAAAACCCAGATTCCCTTTAACCACAATTTGACTAACAAATTGCAGGGATACAGTGTGCAACTGTGGCAAGAAAGGTCGTAGAAGGTCGGCGAATGACTCACTTGACGAAGGTTTCACTTAGCAGCAGAAGTTCGGGACTCGGCTGGTCGTAAGCCGAGGACTTACCTGTATCCCTTCTACCTGATTTTTCAAAAGAAGTCAAGTGACAGTCCAAAGGGGAGAGGGGGAAAAAAAGGCTTTCTCAAAGTCCTTGGTTTGATTTATTGTTTTTATTTTTGCACAAATGGAAAACGTTGCACAATCAGATAGCGGTAAACTCTCAGCTACAGGGGTCCTTGCCCTACGACCATTTATACCAGTCACACATTTGGGATTCGGGCACTTTGGCAAGCCGGCCCGTATTTCCAAGCCTTGCGCGCTTTTGCTGTGTGCAACCTTCCCAGCTGACTTCCAACGCGCACAGCCGGTGGAGGAAGTTTTGATTGGCTTAACGACTGTGGCAAAAAAAAATGAGGTTGTCAAATCAGGGGCGACTCGCTGAACGACCTCTTTGCTTCGTGATGTATACTCTGTGGTTGTAAGTCAAGGGGACCTTCAGACCTGGGCACTTTAAGACATGTGGACTTCAACTCCCAGAATTCCCCAGCCAGCTATGCTGGCTGGGGAATTCTGGGAGTTGAAGTCCACATGTCTTAAAGTGGCTAAGTTTGGAGAGCCTTGGACTAACTTAACTCCTTCACTGCTCTGCAGGGTGGTGGCCCTTGAAAGTTTCCGATTCCCATAGCCAGTTTTCAGTACGCCATGGATTTAGTGTGTGTGTGTGTGTGTGTGTGTGTGTGTGTGTGTGTGTGTGTGAGAGAGAGAGAGAGAGAGAGAGAGACAGAGAGAGACAGAGATATTTATAAACCAAATCTGGAACTGAAGACACACGGGGGTCTATTCTCCTCTACTTTTCCCATGTTCTCTGGGACGTCCTTCCCCACCTTGGTGCCCTTCCCTTCCCCAGATGTATAGGGACTAACTACCACAACAACAACCACAACAAAAAGGCACACCCAGTGGGAATGGGAGACGCTTCTCCACATAGCTGGTAGGCTGCCCTAAAATCTTAAGGGATTCCCTTTGTCTGTTCTGCTGCAAATATTTTCCTTTTTTTTTTTGACTTGCTGCTCTTGCTACCAGACCAAATTCTCTTCCATCCTTGGCATGAAACTTTGTACAAATTTCCTAGATGATTGGATATTGTACCAAACTCCTCTTTGCGCAATTACAAAGGGTTCCAGATTTTCCTCGCTGTCTTCAAAATTGGCATAAATTTGCCCCAAAAGGAACCTGGTTTTCCGTTGGGGCCAAACTAACCATACATTTCACTACAGGTAGTCTTCGACTTAATGACCACAATGGAGCTTGCCCATCATGTGCCAGTCCTAAAATGGGTCAGTCATGCAAAGAGCCTGATTTTATAAACTTTTTTTTTTTTTTGCCAGGGGGTCATTAAGCGAATGCAACGGTCCTAAAGTGGCCACCGTGGTTGTTAAGTGAGCATAGCAGTCATTAAGTGAACCAATGGTTCTTATGGGCATAGCTTTGCTGAAAACTGGAAAGAAATGCTGATGTTTTTTTCCCCACCCCAGCAAAACGATCATATAATGCGGTCACATGATCGCGAGGCTGCAAGTGGCCTCCAATGCAAAAGAAATCCGGTCGTGTGACTGCAGGGGAGGCGACTGTCGGATCTTCAGATCTGGGTCATAAGTAGCCCCCAAATAGTTCCGTCATAAGTTGGAATGGTTGCTTAGCAAACGGTCGCAAGAGTAGGACTACCTGTATTAGTGGCTGAGAGGGCTCTAACATGCATTTCAGCAGGCATTGAGCTGGGCCTTGGCCAAGCCAGTTACGTCCAGATAAATTTCAACTCTATCTTTAAAAAAATGGATTCCTCGCATAGGAACGAAAACTTCATTTTGGGGGGATAATTCTTGCCGTTCAGCTCTTTTGTACCTTCTTGAAAACTAGTTGAACCTTTTAAACTAGCTAGCATGGAAAATTCTCAAATGAGTACCAGAGTAAAACTCTCTTTGAATTTCTTCCCATGAAGCTGGACACTTTCGTGCAGTTTACACACACACACACACAGTATCCCTTCCACATTGCTGGTACAACTGTGTGAAGGATACAAATTCTAAATAGCCAAGAACCAAAATTAAGAATATGTTTTTAACAGAATAACAGAGTTGGAAGGGACCTTGGAGGTCTTCTAGTCCAACCCCTTGCTCATCTTGCCCCAACCCACAAGTGTTTAAATGAGTATTTAAAGCATCGCTGGCTGGGGAATTCTGGGAGTTGAAGTCCACAAGTCTTAAACTTGCTAAACACTGTTTTAGCTCTTTATCTGCTTAGCTTTTTGGCCCTTATGATTTATTTTTTCCCTTGAAAATAACGATTGGAAAGAGCAGGGTGATGGGTGCAAAAAATCAGAAAACTATGCAAAATCGCTGAGAGCAGAGGGTCCAGCCTGATTCGAAACCCCTGAGGCTAAACAACCTCCCCTCCAGTAGTTTTTAAAATGTAATAGCCATAATAAACCCAGTTAGTTTGATTGGAGGTGTGCTGGCCCAGGATCAGCAAAATAACTTTTTAAAAAGCCTTACGACTCAGGAAAGATTTCAAGATGTTTGAGTGCCTCCTGTCCTCTTTGCTATTCCACCTCAAAATAATGCTTTCTTCGGGATCTTCAGAATGCTAGGTGGGTCTTTCACATTCAGCGAAGAAGAAAAATACGCAATTTTTCTTCTTGCTTTCTCGGAAAGGTGGTTAATAAAAGCCGAGGAGGCCCCCAGAGGACATCCATCCAACACACTTCCCCAAATGGCCTGGCTCCATTTTTGTCAGGAAGAAAAATGATGATGTCATAGCTACTTTTTGATTAAATTATTACGTTGTTTGTTCTATTGATTGTATTTTGTAAATGGGAAAAAAAAAAAACCTCTCTTTTTCTTCCTTCCCCGTGGCACTTTTTAACTGATTTCAATGACTCCTGGTTTTGTTTTTTTTCCTATGCATATTTATAATGAATTGAAAAAAAAAATGTATATATGTAAAAAACAAAAAGTGGGGGAGGATTCTTTCCTTTTTCGCTGTTGAACAATGTGCCTTTTGACTAATGATTTCAGGATTTTGTACTTGCATCCGAAGGATTAAAATATTGGCATTTCAGTTGAATGAAGGAAGAAGTGGTGGAAGATTTGTGCGTGGGAAGAAGGGAAGGAAGGAAGGATAAGAGGGAGAAGGGAGGGAAGAGAAAGAGGGATTGGAAGAGGGAGGGAGGAAGAGTTGAGGAAGAGAAGGAAGGCAAGAAAAAAAGAATAAAGACAAAGGTAAAGATTGAAGGAAGGAAGCGGAAGCTCTTAAAAGAGAGATCCAACCTAGGATTAAGGAGAAATGAAAAACCATTAAATAATGGAAATACTTGCATCCTGGACTTGAACGTGCTCCATCTCTGGAGGTTTTCAAAAATACACTGGACAATGACTGGACTGGGTTGGTATAAGGCGGGGGGGGGTGTCAAACTTGTCACGTGACTTATTGTGCCTTTCCCCCCACCCCATTCGCTAAAACGGGAGTAGTGGCCAGTATGTGACGTAACTGGCAGGCAGGCAACGAGTTTGACACCCCTGGCATAAGGTCTCCTGCTTTGGGCAGGGAGTTGGATTAAAAGACCTCCAGGGTCCCTTCTGGCCCTGCAATTTTATGTTCTAAAAGGCATTCTTAAAATTCAATTAATTGTTTACTTTAAAGCAGTGGTCGGCAACCGGTGGTCCGCGAGAAAAAAATTGGTGGTCCGCTGAGAAATGTCACCCTCAGAGCACCTCTCAAATCAATTAATACACAAGGCTGCGTCACCCACATGGCCCACTGCTAAAACTGCTATTTTTCCTTTTTCCATCAGCTGTTCTGCTGCGCCCGGAGATTTAGATTAGTTAGAAAGCAGGAAACGGTTGGATTTCTTGCGTTCTAGCTAATCTTTAGATCTTCGGCTTGCAGAGCCGAACCTTCCTTAGGATGAAGCTTCTATTATTCAGTGCAGGTAGCTGATAGCAGAAACATAGATCTCTGAATGTATCTGTGATTCTGTGAGCAACTCAATCTGCCTGCCTGCTTTGCCTGATTTTGGGTAAAAGTTGCTCTTTTTTATATAAAAAATTCAATATTTACATACACGTGTTGCGAGTTTTGTGAGTTTGCTTGCTAGCAAATTTTATGTGATGGGCTCAGGTAGCCGATCTCCCATATCTCTGAATGAATCTGTGAGCAACTCAATCTGCCTGCATGCTTTGCCTGATTTGGGGTAAAAGTTTTTTATAAAACAATTCAATATTTATATATTTATAATATTTACATACAAGCCATACCGAGCCAGTCACATGACCAAGCCACACCCACAAAATAGGCCACACCCACAGAACCGATTAAGAAATTTGAATCCCACCCCTGCCTGTGTGTTTGTGTGTGTGAGAGATGGAGGGAGGGAGGGAGGGACGTTAGATCAGATCTCTCTCTTTCTCTCCCACCAACGTCAGCAAGCCACCGTCAGTCAAAATTCGTATTAGTGGTCCCCGGGATTTAAAATTATGAGTTTGGTGGTCCCTGTTTTAAAGCATTCCTCCTCTTGAACCCTCACTAGCCAAATGGCAGCAGGTGGATCTGAATTAAGTTCTCACCCGGTCTTGGCACTGTATTTCTTATTTGCTCTTGCACTGGCAGGTTGCGTAATGCCTCTTTGCCCGAAGAGAAATCGGGGCGCCCCAAGGCAACACAAATTAGCTGGAGCTGAACTGGGACACTCTGACTGCTGCCAGATTCCAACTCCCAGTGGTGCTAAAAGTAAACGTTTCAATAAGAAATAGCCAGTGTGGTCTAGTATTTAAGGCATCAGGCTAGAAATTGGAAGACGTTGAGACTTAATCCCACTTTAGTGGTAGATTTTGGGCCAATCACCAGGAGAAAAGGAGTTCTAGTCCTGCCTTAGGCGTACAAGTTGACAGGGCGACATTGGGCCACTGACTCTCTCAGCCCAACCCACTTCACAACGTTGTGGGAAAAATGGAAGGAAATGTTTGCCACCTGGTAGAAATAAAGGTGGGATACAAATGAAGAAAATAAATAATAACTTTTGAAGAGCCTGAAGTTGCCCCAACCCGCCCAAGGCTAACAAATGAAATTAACTTCTACTTCCCATCCGGAAGGCACAAGTCTAACTGCCTCACCTGCAGATCTCAGATAGCTTTGCACTTCTAAAATGGCCGCCCCCCCCCCCCTCACCTCCCTCAGCCCATGCCCAATAGCGCTCTGACGCACAAATCTCAAGACGCTTGATCGGCTGAAAGAAAAAAAAAACATCTTTATTTTGTACAAGATGGAAGTTGCGGCCTGGCGTGCAAATACAGACGTTCCAGCTAGCCTCCCGTGTGAACTTGTGCCAAATCTCTCAGACCTGCCTCACCAAGATAGGCTTGGCTTGAAGGCAGACCTTCATCCAGGCAAAATTCACAGGCAAACCAGAGGAACGCTGGCGGAGCACAGCCAGGGCTGGCAAGAGGCAGGCGGGGCTTACAGGTATCGGAGCAGTTCCTTTTCCATCGTCTGCAGAGGATGAAACAAGAGAAAACAATGAGGGTTTGTGAGATGGCTGCATCTGGCCAGGATTACACCCCAATACAGTGATGGCAAACCTATGTTCCCAATGTCTAAGGCAGGGGCGTCAAACTCAATGTCACTGAGGGCCGCATCAAGGTGGTTTGACTTCAGGGGGTGCGTGGCCAGCTCAATGTCCCTTGAGACTCCATTTTTGGCCACGGCAGTTCCCTGCAAACCCCCCCCCCCCCCCCCCCCAAAAGGGGATTTGGGGGAGCTGCGCACGGCCCCCCTGGGGTCCGTTTTCAGGCACGACAGCCTCCTGGAACCCTCAGCCAGCGAAAAGGGACCTCGGGAGGGCCACATGTAGCCTCCCCAAGCCCCGTTTCTGCAGGTAGAGGTACCACAAGCTGGTCCTTTGCCGTTTCCAGAGTGGGCCCCCAGGCCAGATCTATGCACCCTGCAGGCCAGATCCAGCCCTCGGGCCTTGAGTTTGACACCCCTAGTCTAAGGAGATTTTCAGTCATCCATCCAGGTCAGGATTGTTGCAAAGGTGCTTTTTCAAAAGGCAACCGGCCTATGGGTTTTTTTTTTCTTCCCTTGAGGGAGAAGAAAAGGTTTCGCTTCTCATCCAAGAAGCTTCATCAGTTCTTGATGAAAACGAGAAGCAAAACATCTTGCTCCTCAAGGGAAAAACACAGACCGGTTGTCTTTTGAAAAAAAACAAACACCGAGACTGTCTCAAAGATGACACGCTGCAACATTTCAGATGACCCACCAAGCACCAAACACTTCTTCTCCAAAGCACGGGCCGTTGTCTGGTTTTTTTTGGAGCTGTGGAGACCACACAAGACGGCTGTGCTCTTGGACGGCCTCTGAGAGGCTACAAAAATTGTGCAAGGACGGTGTGTGCTTTTGCAGTTTTCAGAGGCCGCAGATGGACGTTCTCTGAAGCGGCTTCTAGAATAAAGGCTTCGCGCAACCCAGGAGGCTGTTAAGAGAAAGAGAACGCCCCGTGAAGGTAAGCAGCGCAGGGCAGGTCCTGGGGAGCGCTGAACCATGGGCGGCAACTCATTCCACAAGGCGCGTTCTCTTTGGCAAACGAGGCAAGGTGGCCTTTTGGAGTGGCAGCAGCTACACTGGGGCCTAGGATTGTCCTGCAAGCCCTTGGCCACTGAGTGCCACTGTTCAGGGTAATTTAGAGGGGGTGGAGGTGGGGAAGAGAGAATTGCTCCCTTTTGTTGAAGGAGAGGCAGTCAGATGCCAGCAGAGTTCAATCAGGCATTTTCTGATTTTTTGACAGGCCAAGCCCAAAAGGTTTGTCATGACTGCCCTCATGTCACCCCTTATGAGGTTTTTATACTCCTGTAAGCCGCCTTGAGTCGCCATGTGCGAATAGGCGGCAATATAAATTTTCTAAAGTAAATTCCCTAAAATGTCAGCAGCCGCTGGACCAAAAACAGCTTTGCATTCACACGAATGCAAACGAAGCACCATTCGCTTGAATGGCTATAATGGCTGCTATAAGCCATGGTTTTCCACCCACCCTGGCTGGATTTAGCATGGTGTGCGAAGCACCTAACTCAGCATTGTGGCCAGATACTCAGGCTGAGCGGATTCACTTCTGCAACTGGACGGTGTCCCCAGGTCCTTGGGACAGACTCGCCTGCTGGCTTAAAAAGCCCAATGTCCAGTCTAAACATCTGGCTGACTGCACAACCAACCATCACAATATGCGCAACTTACAAGTGGGTCATCCATGGGGCTGAATCTCTTGACTACTTGCCCTTCCCTGTTGATCAGGAACTGCAAGGAGAAAAGAAGAACAGGGGACTCATCAAGGGGGCCCAAATTTCATCGGGGCAGGAAGAGAAGCCCCGATCTGCAAAGACCACAAGACCAACCCCCAATTTGGGAGCTGGATCGATGCCTAGCAATACGCTGTAAAGTGATTCAGGCATCCCAGGATTGTGTGTATGGGTAGTCCTTGACTTACAACCATAACCGAGCATGGTACCGATGGCCGTAAAGCGAACATGACGGTCATAAAGCAAACCTGTAGTTCACGATGGAGCATTTTTGCCAGAAAATGGAAGCAAAAGGCAGCTTTTAGCAAAAACATCCATTGCAATCACAATCCGACAATAGTGCAAACAGGCGAGTGTCCAACATGTGATCACACGACCACTAGCTGTGTGTGGCAGTCAGAACTTCAGAACCTGGTTGCAAGCTCCTTATGGAGGCTGCATCAAAACTTCAAGT